GTAACGTATTCTCTGGAGGTACGTTTTATTTAGGAAAATCACTTTCTATCTCAGACCATACACATAAAAAACTTTCTTCTAAAGCAAAAAAAAGAGATAAAATTGTTGCAAGAATATTGGCAGAGTATTACTCCCTAAGGCATTACATTTATTCACAATATAATTCTCATATGAGTTTTAAATTTAAATTGTGTAACTTTGAATGGGGACCCTCTGGACCTTGTATGCCTTTATTTGCCTTTACATGCTCTCCTATTTAATAGACTGTGGATATTTCTAAACTATCTGCTTTCTGATCTTCCGATGTGTGGACATTTATTGGTTCCTTCTGGGTCTCTATGCAGATTATGGGATGGCTTTAGGAGCTGCTTTGGTTATCTGTCCCTAAGGTCCATCTGAATTAATGCTGGCGTAAATCTTCCAATGTTCTCTTCCCCTGAACGGGAGCCCGGACAAAATCCTTTTTTTTCTTCCTTTTTTCCTTTCCCTTGATTTTACAGGACGTTCTGGTTTAACAGCAATATTGTTTCTGACTGGCGTGTTATGGAATCACTTCATTGGGGCCACATTTTTATTTTCAAACATTTATCTTTGATTTCATACTTTAAACATTTACAGCTTTCTTCTCTGACATATTTATGAACAATACTGTATATTATAAACATAACATATCATAGCAACAACAAAATTGTTCAAAGTACATTTGATATATTATGTGTCGATAGAAACTACGTAACAACCTACATTTTTATTTTGAAATATTTAGATTTCATGTCCTCCTTTACACATTGTAAGATCTTTTCAAGTATTTATGAATAATACTGTACATTTTTTATATGAAATTTATTTAATTATATCAAGAATATTTTATGTTTATAGCTAGGCACATTCCCGAGTACACTTACTACAGTTTTGAGATATTACGGATATATTTGTGTGACATTTAATTTTCAATGATAAGGAAGATTACACTTGATAGTCATCTTTACTCATAGCTTTAGAAAATAGAAATTCAACTTTGAATGAATAAACATGCATTTGTTACCCTCAAATAAATAATAAAACACACTAAAAAGACAAGTTAGCTGTGGGTTACTAGTGTTCTGTTCTGTATTACATTTAATAAATAGCCATATTTAATTATGTTGTGCTTTTCTAGAGCCATTTGATAAAACAAGGGATACAATTGAATGAAGAGTTTCATGTATTTAGATTCATTCTTAATAACAATAAAATAAATGCAAAAACATTTTAAACATGTAGTTCGCAGTACTGTGCGGTGCCGTAGTTGTGAACTAGGTGTCATTTAGTTAGTAGTTGAACTATACATTTTTGGTAGCTTTCTATTTGCATAGTCAGAATTTACAGCCCTACAAGAAAATGTATTTTAGTTTATTTGGTATCTCTGCTATAAACAAGCCCTGCCGTCATTTTTCAATTAAGCTCTGTGCTCAAATAGCAACAGCGTCATCATCTCCAGCAAGTTAAAGACTTTTTGAGTTTTCAAGTTTTCAAGAAAACATGACCTGTGAACAAATTCAGCAGCATTTAAAAAAGATTTGTACTGACTACTTACTTTTCAAAGTAGTTCTATTTGCCGCTGCGCTGTGTCTGCGACATTATGTGGCACCTGATCATTTAATTATAGTAAGTTTAGAAAACTAAGTCCCGCAGCCAGAGATGTTCCCACCCAGAGTCCGATGACCCCGAACCGGGTCGGCAGTCTACACAATCATCTTACTGGGTGGTTGAAACCTGTCCACAGGCTTTTCACGCAAACCTGTCTCTAAATTCTCTCACATGAAAATGTTTCTGTGTTTAGTGACTAAACCACATAAAAGCTATTCTTACGGATTTCCATGGCGTGGTTTCGGCGACAATGTGCCTTGGCGTTAACATTTCACTTTCAGCGAGTGTTAGTGTGAAGAAAGGGAGCAAAGAGCACAAGTGTCACACAGCGAGGCAACTTTTTACCCTGCATGTTAGAGTTCTCGGTAAATGGCCGCCAGCCAGCAGAACGGAGACAGTCGGTTTGCAGGGGTCTGGGATCAGGTCTGGGATCAGGTCTGGGATCAGGTCTGGGATTAGGTCTGGGATCAGGTCTGCGATCAGGTCTGGGATTAGGGGGCAGCAGGGTCAACGTGGAAGTGGTGACTTTTAGTTCATGCACAAGTAACAGAGTCTGAGCTTTCTGTGCCTTTTTGATGATGACCTCGTGCCCTTGTTAACATTGGGACAAGTCTCTCTCCAGGACTTGGAGTCACAATAACAGTCAGCATAACTTGACCTCTACTCTCTTCACTCGGCTCTTAAATCTCAGATAAGACACTTGGCTAACTTCCCTATATATGTATCACCACAAAAGACGCAGACAGTTTGCTGGATTGGGCTCCTCAGCATATTCAGCATACCACCTCGCCGGCTTTTCCTCAATCTGTATCCGGATGTCTGAGGGGGACAGTTAGAGCAAATCTCTTTGTCAATACCCTCGAGAAAAGTAGAGATCTGTCCTAACAGGCTCTTGGTCCCAGAATAGATGTCAACTTTGACACTGATGTATCATGTCTCAGTAGTTCAGACATGGAAGGCGGCCTCCGTGGCTTGATGCGCCGCAGACAGCGAGCCAACGGAGGTACACAAGGAACGCGGGGGGGCGGACGGGCTATTTAAAAACAATCCTATCTGCCGATCCACTGTAGGCAAAACAAAGGATTCAACCTCATTAAGATAAGAGAGTCCAGTAAAGCAGACCAGTTGTTGTGTGGAGATGCAGTCAGAGGGGCCACAGATGGGCAACGGCCCATTTTCTTTCCTCTGTAAATAGCGGTGTGCCTTTTCAGTGCATCACGTCTCACGGCGAGTACTGAGCATGCTCGTTAGCGTCTCCCCTCCATTCCTCGCCATGATGTCGACATCGCTGCCAGTCATGTGTGTATGTCGGGAGTGGGAAAACAATGATAAACATTGACAATAAGCGCAGCTGTGTTCCTGATGTGCCACAGAGCAGAAGTAATGCAGCGAGGCTGCAGAAAGCAGGACTGAAGAAAACACTTGTTCCTGCAAATTGAAAAAAATATATATTATTATTATTATTATTTTCCTGGGTCAGATCACTCATGGCCTCAATATCAGACATGTTTATTCAACATTATTTTCAATGTGTATATTTAGTAATGCTCTTCATATTTATCTCCACTGATTTTTCGCACGACAAATTAAAAGCTTCAAGAAATGCTATATTTCTAAAAAATAGATCCATTAAATGAATAGATCAGTTGTTATAAAATGATGTTCAAAACAAAATTAAAGCAAGACAATAACATTTGATGAAATAAAACGGATAGATTATATTATTTTTTTCTTTTTAAATTATGTTTAAAAGATGGCAAACACTGAAAGACATTAACAAACCACACACAATTCATGAGGTACAATATGTCTCATATATGCCTTCTGTAAGATTAGTTCCAATTAAACTTTTAATCCAATAAATCCATCATAAAAACATAATAAAGAACACCTGCTCCTTAAAAAAAATAGTTGTCTGTCAAATTTAATAATTTAAATAGATTAAAGTCTAGTTTTAGCGTAGGCAGGTTGATTAAAGCCACCTAAATGTTTATCAAGACTTGATAAAGTAACGCATGCCTTTCAGTGTAAAATAAAAAATATACGTTATACGCGTACACACACAAAAATACATATGTATATATATATATATATATATATATACATGTGTATTTCCCCTTTTTTCTGGTAACTGGTTCAACTAACAGCTACACTTGGACAAATTCGGTACCCTATTTTTGTACTTACAATTACATTTGATAAATGCTTTTCTTCTTTAAAATTCTGTCCAGATTCGCTGTCTTGTGTAACTTGTACTTGTGTTTATCACATGTATCTACTCTAGTAACATTGAAATAACTAAACGGGGACTACAATAGTATTATTAATATGAATGTTAATATTATTAATTAGTCTTTCATCACTGCCTTATGCATGTACAAAACAGTACATTACTACACTGTATCCCTGACATCCACATGTATTTATTATTACCGCAATAAGTTGTTAAACCCTAGACTGATTAAAACTAAACCATTTCATTTGGTGTATTTAATGGAAATCCATAACACCTCTGCAAGTAGTACTTGCTCCACTGTGTTTAAATATTCAACAGAAAGATAAAACAGAAATTTCAGAAGGGCATTGACGGGAAATTAAAAGTTACTGGCAAGGTTAAAAGATAGACCTGGAAGGTATTCATTTAGCGAATAATGACAATGTGCATCCTCATCATATGGTGGTGCATAGCCAGAAAACGCTCTCCATCATCAACGGATAAGATGCTTCAAACTAATAAACAAAATCTCAGGCAGTGTGTAGTCCTGACATGTGTGTAAGCTTTATTATCAGAGAATAAAAAGAAGCTTAGCTGTAAACGCAGACAGCATGAACTCTGATTGACACAGGGTTCACACAGAGGTCTTTGGTTCAAATTAGCTCAACGATTTAGTGACTATTTGTTAAATCACAGAAATGCTCCACTAGGGGGCAACATTTCACCTGGTTTTGGAAAATGCTAATGTTAAGGGCAGAGTAATGAATACAGAGAAAAAAGAGTGAGAGAGATATAACTCCGTGATGAACTGCAAATCTGCTGGGAGCTCAGCGGGGCATTGCTGACTGGTTAAATGCCAACCCTCCACCTGCGACGGGAGAGCGCTCACAATGGTGCATCGAAATGACTGGGATTCTTTGTGCTTGTATTTGTGCTGCCATTCCTCAGTATTTGAGCGTTAGGCAAGTTTTCGGGTGTGGTCACAAGGTTCACTGTACATCCTAAATTTCCCGCTTTGTCCACTTGGCCGTATCGCTACTAATTTCTACAGTTGAAGCCCAGGGAACATTATCCTCCAGACTATTTAAGCCTTTTGCTGCCAGATCATTCCTCTAAAACAATCCCTCAACCCCGTTTTTCTCTCTCCACTTTCCAGACATTTTTTTTTTGCCCCCCCCTTTTTTTGTTGCTCCCTCTCTTATTTTTCTCCATTTATTCAGTTTCTCTAACAAAAGCCAAGTCCGGGAAGCACACGCTCGGACCGCCGCTAATTGGTATCAGATCTGCGGGGTTTGTATCAGCACCACGCTGGCCGAAGCCAAAACTTTGCTCTCATCTGCATCGAGTGTGGGTCGCTGAGAGCCCAGGTATGTTGAGCCGATTGGCCCACCACCAAGTTCTTTCTTCACAGGATCGTAGACCCGCCATCACGCACGGGGTGCTGCTGGCCCCCGACTAGCACGCATGTATGGCAGCTTTCATGTGCGAGCCAAACTCTGATCACAGGACCTCCATATTGACACCCTTCACGGTTTGTTAGCACCTTGACAGTGAGGAAGTGGGACAGCTGAGACGTCTGCGGAGTGACGGAAGTTGTGACCAGCGTGGAGAGAAGGCTGAGGTTAAGAGAAGGAGGGCGGACGCGGGGATTAGAGAATTGGGTCCGCGACCCATATTTTCTTCCTTCACGGGCCCCACGGGAAACTCACGTGCACACTCCAAGAAACAAACTGCTAATATACTCACGTCGGCGAGCGGCGTGGATTCTGTGGGTTTTCGTTAAATAAAGGAAGACTTTTATGATTGGCTGCGCCGCAGAATTGGTTTTGGAAAAGCACCCGAGTTTGTTTCGACTTCATCGGAGGGACATGCTTTGGCAGCACGCGGGGGTTGTGGTGCACTGCAATCCTGGGAAATGGAAGAAAATAAATAAATAATAATCATCAACAAAACATGAAAAAACGGTGGAACGCAAGCACTTGGCAACCTCAGCGTCACGTCTCGTTTTGTCAACCCTTTATTTCGCTGACGGGTCGGGCAAGAACACACTTGTTTATCCGAAGGTGCCCGGGGGGATTGCAGGGGTGACCGGGGATAACGTACTGCCCGGCTATACCTGTGAGGCTTATCACACTAAATCTTTGTACTGAGCGTCCAGAAGAGCCAGGGCCTCAGCTCAAGATTCTTTTGGGGCAATAATAAATTACTGTGCTGGACTATTTGCTCTATGTGATCCATCATCAACAATATATGTGTAAAACAGGGTGAAAAGAGAGGTAAAGTTGTGTCAGAGGTCATCAAAAGTGTTTTCCACTATGGCATTTTATACTGATTTATAAATGTCATGAATAACGTAATATTCGTTGATGAGAGCAGCCTGCATATATTTTTAGTTGGTTGAATGAGTAAAAATTGGAACTTACTAACTTCAGTTAGGAACCCACTATCTCTGAATCATCACTTCTGTGGTAACACCACCTGCTGGTGCTCCCCTGGTGGCTTCCCACTAATCTGGAGACCTTTTCTGTTTCTTACAGGTGTGTCCCGTGTCACCCTCTTGCCGCTTATCTAACGTCTCCCGACACTGTCACACAGGAAACCACCTTGGGGACCAAACGTTGGAGAATGTTAAGCACCATATAATGGGGGAAGACTTAGAAGTGACTTTCAAGTAAACGGGGGAAATTGAATCGGGTTGGGTGAACTGATGGATGCTTAAATATTGCCTATTGCAAGAAAGAAAGGACACCTTTTTCATATTTAATTTCCATCCTCACATTTGGCAAAAAAAACAGCCTATGAAATAGCGAAAGCCAGAGCAGATATCAGGCATAAGGTTATACTTCCAGCAGTGACTGATTGGCCAGCTCTTTGCTGCTGGCCTTTTATTCCAACTCTCCATCAGATAACAGGAACTTTGATTGGAACTGCTTCCATGTTGTGTGACAGAAGGTGAGTTAGTAAAAAAGGACTTCAACAATCATGACAAATCAACATTCATGCACTAATTAAAATAAAGGGAGGTCAGAAAGAGTGCTATGGCACTTTACTTTTGAAAGCTCTTTGTGGAAACACAATCCTTCCATTTGTAAGTTGGGAGTCACCTTATCCTCGCTCTGTGCCCCGTGGCAGCCCTCGTGCACTCTGAACGTCTTCCAAGCACAACAATCAGGGACACAGCATGAGCAAAAAACTGATATATTAAATGTAATCTCTGTAATCTTTTTTTCTTTCTTGCCACTCCTTTGCTTACAATTGTAAGTCTCTCCCTCTCCCCTGCTGACACTGGCACATCCAATCAAATTGGATGGATGGGAATGGAATTGCCGTTTTGGAGCCATGTGTCCCTAAATTCATTGAAGATAGAGAACATAGACGGGAGTTCAAAGCGACTCCCTCACCCCCTTTTGCTTCTCGTAATCCCGGCTAGAAACCGAAGGAAGGAAGAAAGGCAAGTGTGTGTCGCCGCGAAGACGTAACAATAACAAAAAGAAGAAGAAAAAAAACCCTGCTTGAAACACCAAAACCCCTTCATAATTGAGGCAACGGAGGGAGGGCCTTTTTGGAACAAGTGACAAGTGGTGTGTGTTTGCATCTGTGTGCACGGACAGCCCACCGCTCATGGGTAACAGATGGCGCCTTATCATTGGCCGGGATCGGCGGCACAGCGCGCATTCCTAGACGTGCTAGTAATGCCTTTTTGTGCTGTTTGACTTTTGCTAACTTCACATCGAATTACACACCAAATTACCATCATTACAATATAAAATTATATTATTGCGCACACTGGGTGGCATTGGTGGAGATAATTATTACCCATTGATTGAAAAAGCTATTATTCCTGTGCCGATGGTGGGTTTCGGGACAGAGGATGTCGTTTGTGTACAGACGGTAAAGCCCTCACAGGCAAATTTGTAATTTGCGATTTTGGGCTATACAAAATAAAATGAATTTAATTAAAACACCTTTTATGTGTCTCCTTTAAGTAACACCTTCTTGCCAGCATACGTTACTAGCAACGTAATCCATTTGTACCTGCAAACCAGTGCCTAAACAAACACACTTTCTCACCTGGCGGTGCTGATAGCTGGCCTTTAGTTGCCACCCTCCCCCTTCACCCTTTTAATAATGCCCTTTTATTCTTGAACACATTATTAAATACTGTCAATCAGGCTAAATACCAGGAATAGTTGGATAAGAGCCTAAACGGAGATAGGGAGGAAAACAAGGGCAGGGGGTGGGGTATGGTACATAGACTACTCTGAGTGATGGATCTTTTTGAGTCCATAAATGCCGGTGTTATGAACAGAGAGAGAAAGGTAAAGGAGGCTGAAGGACGGCTGGAGGGAGGCCAAGTGCATTATGCCTGCGGTGAGGAGTTCATGCCGGAGTGCAGCAGAGGGGCCGGTGTTCTCTCTGGCAGCGCCGCCTGATGGCTGCTCAGCAAGGAAGATGATTGACACCTTGTATAACTGACTGGATGATTGACAAACGCAGCGGGCATGTTAAAGTCGGTGTTGGTGGAATGATAGTGGGGGTGATGATGGCCGCCGCGTTTCTCACTGCAAGGTTTTATTCTTGGACAAATTTCAAACGTGGGCCTTCTGAAGATGTTAGAGAGTACTGCATTTGTTTGAGTGCATTCACAAATGTATTTCTCCATGAGGTTCAGTTTTTCCTATACAACACATCTGGTATTATTTAAGCAACAAAGAATTTTCAGGTAATTTAAAACATCCTCTGGCAGCCATACTGGAGTTCTGCTTGATATATAACTGATATTGAATGCTGGCTGAGGAGAGGAAACGTTTCTGTGGCTTTAATGGAGACTGAGTGTAATATTTTAAGAGTGCTTAAGTGTCCTTGCTCGCTGCAAGTTGTGTGTCTGTAAGCTGAATGTGAAGCTGAAGTCAGTTTTTTTTAAATTTAATAACTTGTTAGTGAACTAAACCTATTAAAATAAATAATTGATGTACACAATGGTGAATAGGACCATTCCTGACATACAAAAATACTGTTGGATTTTTTTAATGATGCCAGCAAAACTTGAATATATGTGTAATGCTAAAATCTGTCAGTGGAGCTTCAACTCAAATAAGGAAAAGATAGTTTCATTGAATTTTGAAAAATTTGATTATGAAGCCATAATATGTGGTAACGAGGCAGTTACAGTTGGGTGGGAGATTTGAAGTGCCAATGAAAAGCCCCTACAGTGAAACGCTACACTAGTAGCTGACAAAATGACTAATGGCACTACCAAAGTGCCCTTGTTTTGATATTTAATAGCCCCATACCCCCCAATGTGAGCAAAAGCACATGACAAGGCTTAACCAGGGTTGTGACAGGCTTAGCTTTCTGGTTACTGTGAGGAGTGACATGCTGATGGGGAAAATGAGTTTTCCAAAGCTTTGCGAGAGTAGCCACGGTTTACCGATGTCACCAGAGCAGGTCTCAGGCACATATGCACACATACAAAGACCCACCAGCATCACCTGCCTGGAGACAGGGTGGATTACGGGGAATTAGGGGGCACCGTGTGACTTAGCACTGAAACTGGGTGTCCTATTGTTGTCGGTGCAGGATCTAAAATTCTGCCAGAACACATTGACACATTCTTACAATAGAAAACACAAAAATGACTGAGGGGTCACCGACACGAACACATGCGTAAGGTAAAGACACAGTTGTGGCTGCATGCATGTGCTGACACATGTACGCAGTGCCTGCTACACACACACACATATATGGACATGATCCCTACACTGTAAGTGTGTCCCCCTACCCAACAGTAGCAACTGTAACAATGAAAAGGCTTAGCGTTGCAACAGTAGCCCGCCTGTAGATTGACATACGAAACCGCTGTTGGTACAGTGGGACCACTCACAGCCTCGGGGCTCGATCATTTTTCTTTTTTATCCAACACTAACGTGCAGCTGTGCACTGTTATAATTAACAGTGCGGCCTTTACATGAGATGTCAATCTGTTTTCGTGCTTTTAACGGCGTGCATATCCAGCTGATGTGGGCTGTGATGTGGCGTCGTGGACCGAGGATACCATTTGATATGAAGAACCTGTTTGATTCTCGTGCTTCAAGATAAATCTTACAGTTTAACTTGCAACTTAACCCAACATATTTGTCACAGAGATTACTCAGTGCTATGTGGTAAGTAAAGGACTTTCGTTCCATACTTACAGGTTGCCATCTATGGCAATGAGCCCTAAACCCCTTTTCCAAAGATTGTATTTTGCATTAACTTCTGTATATAATATCTCATAACTCTATATCTATAAAGTATATAGAGTTCCATATTTTATTTATTATTATAATAAGTTTGACTCATCTAACAATTACTGGCATTTTTCAATTGCTGATGTGGTTGTATTAGAAATATTAAATCATTAGCGTAGCTTTTTAGGCACCTCTTGCGACATGCACACATCTCACAGTTTTAAAACACACATGTCCTTCGGGTAGGACAGAAGAGACACTATGGCCTCGGCATACTGTGAAGAAGTCAGCTGTAAATGCACCGCTGCTGCGTTTTGAACACACACACACACACAGCGTGCATGCTGGTACAAAGACAGAAAAACAATGGCAAGACAAACACAATGAATAATGTATTTAAAAGGGCCCAGAACACTTCATTCACGCGCAAACATGCACACGTGCACACACACACCTACACACAAACACACTCTCATACAGTACACCGTATCATGCATATCTCTCACACCCTCTGCCAGTTGTCAGTTATTGCCTTTGAGCACGAGGCCTGAGGGACTAGATTAAATCCTTCTGGAGACAGGATGACGGGCACAGAGGCCTCCACACACTGAACACACACTCACAGACACACTCATGGAATGACGCCATCTTATGTTCCAACTATCTCTGCATGATTAAACTCACTGTTCTTTGCCTGGATCTTTTGACAGAACTTTTTATCCTTCAATTAATTACTTCTGACTTTAATATCTCCTTATTACATATGAAATTCTGTTTTTTTTAACACAAACATTTGAACAGCTCCAAAGCCTGTTGAATGTTGAAACTTTTTGCAGACTGTTGCTCAAACCACGTAGGAAATTAAACGACCCGCCAGTAAATATTTTCTTGTGATTGCCTGCAAATAGTGAGAGCCTCGTAAACATTTCATTCCATTTTCCTCTGGGGCAATATAACCAAATGGCTGAATTATTCTTTATCTATGTAATAAAGCAGATCAAAAGTTAGTGTCTCAGTGTTGTATGCTGCTAGTCTTGACAAACATATTTGATTACCTAATTAATACAATATTGACTATGCAATTTGTGTATTTCTTTCCAACCTCTTACATTGCAATATATCTTTATGGGCCAATGTGGCAGAAGTATTGCCAGGTGATTTGAGTAGCTGAATACTTGAAATTGCCTTGTTGTGATTTGCGCAGTTCCTCGACTGTCTAATGACAAAGTCTTCGCCGCAGATGAGTTGCAGGCGGATTTTTCCAGGCATCACAAAGCGATAGCAGCTGTAATCAACCTCAGAGTTTCCAAACCTGAATAAATGACAGTTTATTTTACCAGAAGACGGTGATAAGATGGTTACGTTTTCTGCCGCTGCGCTTCCACATTTTTTTGCTCCTTTGTTGGAACTCGAATGGCGACGAGAACCGTCTTCCTGTGAGCGTTCCTAGCAGCTGTAATAATACTTCAGCGACTGAATTAGCAAAGGTTTACGGCCCAGTTCCTGCAGCGAAATGGGGCCAGTTACTGTTACTGCACGGCTGTGTGGGTCAAACCTGACTAAATGAGTACAATGGATGTTTAGAAAGGAACTAAATGCTCACGTAATGGCAAAAGTGACTGTGTGCACATGATATTGGTTGCCATCCTTTGTTTCACTTTAAACAGCTGAAAGGAACTATTCATCCCCACTGCATGGTTGTTGTGGAACCAAGGAAGCCTTTTATTGACAGATGACATCATTATGGCTGCCCCCCCACCCACGCCCGCCCGCCCTCTCTTCACTCAGATGAAAATTATGCTGTGGACTGATTGCAGCAACATCTTAAAATCCTTCACTTTCTCACCCAATAAGCATCGGCTAAACTGCTCCCAGAAGAGACACTCATGTGCTGATACATTTACGGCACTTGTGGTAATAGTTTGAACATTCAGACTCTAGTTTCTGTGGAAACCTTTGGCACTCTTGTGCCCTTGGATTTGGAATCTGTATGTGTGGCTCTGCACTTATAGTGTTTTTTATGTTTTTTGATGAACAGGCAATGCGGGTGCGGTCCAAGCTCAAGGGCATAGCCCATCTATCTGCCATCTGTCAGCGACTTTTCATCCGGCTTTAGTAATTACAGAAGCGTAAATAAGGCCAGGAGACAGGAGTTTGACAGCTGTATAAGATCTATGAGATCTGTGTGTGTGTATTTTTGTGTGTCCCTGGTAAGCAAAAAAAACAAAAACATTTTAGGACTTGAAGCTTTTCTCTCAGAATGTGAGCAGGGCTTTTATAGGCCTCCTTGGAAGTAACTAAGGGTCTCTAACTTTGTATTCCTCAACATGTTTACTGGGTGGTGACCTCCGCTGCAGGCTGAGAGTCAGATGGGTGAGACGGATATTGTATCAATGAGTACGACACAGAAGCATTAAGAGACAGGGTTTCACCAAATGAATGTATTTGTGTCTGAACCATCTTCTGGTGGATTCATTTCATGTAACATCACAGGCAATGTCTGCAAAACCCCAAAAGTGTGTGATGGGCTTCAGTGTTGTAAAGCTACATTGGTGCTATACTATTTTAGTTGTTTTTTTCAGAGTCCTCTTGCAAAATAACTTTCCTGGTCAAGATCTCCTTTCATTAAAGCCTGAAATTATGCTGCTTTCCATTCGGTTGACAAGTGGTTATCTCTAAAGAAAATAGGATGTATTTGAAGAAGCATTTTACCGTCTTTGCAATGCAACCAAAGA